AGTAGAGATTCTGGGACAGTCCGGGAAAATGGAGACTCTGGTTGCTTCCCCTCTCCTTTTTCGGGTGATCTGTGGGATTCCATGCTCTGTTTGCTAGTTCTGAAAGCTCCGTTCTCCCTTCACCTTTCCAAGATGACCTGGAAAGTTTTCTTCCCCTCATCCTCTCCCCAACCCTCTCACTCTTCAAAAAAGATGTAAACTTGGGAAAGCAGTTCTTAATTATTTACCACACGGTCCTCCGGCAGACTACAAGAATCCAGGGCAAAGCAAGAGAGAAAGGCAAAAGAAAACCAAAACCCCAGGCTAATGATTTCCCTCAACAAGAATTTTTGTTATCATAAGGTGGTGTTTTATTTAGGTTATGGTTCTTTGGAGCAGGTGTTAAGCTATGTCTTCCTTGGGGCTGTGTTAAGACTCGTATTTTCCTTAATGAGACAGCAGCAAATCCAAGGGAGCAAAATAATGCTGATGGGAAGGGGACACTGAGACTCCTGAGGGGAGAAGTTCACTTGGAGCTAGTCAGCCTCACGGTCCATCTCAGAGACACGGGGCCAGGTTTGTACACGATTATCTAATTACATAATTTTACTTCCTAGCATGATGCCACAGTTTAAAACTATACCTCATTCCCTTCCCTGCTTAATTTTTTCTCCAGAGCCCTTATCTCCTATCATACACTGTAATTCACTTAATAATAATAATAATAATAATAATAAATTTTTTAATCATTCTTTAAATGGCTGATGTCCCCTCTAGAATTGAAGCTCCTCGAAGGAGCTTATTTTATTACTCATTCAGGGCCTAGAGTTGTTCTGGCCCAAGATAGGTGCACAATAAATATCTATTGGATAAATGAATTATTAATCCCGATCAAAGCAATATTAATAAATAATAACTGTGATCAAGTTTTTTTTTACGTGTATTTAATCTACAGACAACTGGTTGGACCTTTAAAATTATTTTGTATAAATCTTCTAATTGGATAAAATATGACAATAGGACCTTTACAAAAGCTTTGATGGTCAAAAGCCAAATGGAACCCATTTTCATCAGCATGGTATGCTCTTCTAAACATATACATGGAAGGATAAGCCTGTGCTGATGACAATAGAAACTCTTGTGTTTTCCTGATGCAGGCAGACTTACTTGAATCCCTAAAGCTAAGGGTATGGTTAGGCTCATTGTACTCATAACTGTTGCTAGCAGCAAGTTTAGCTGCTACTTACCAGCCCCATGGAACTCAGAGACTCACTAATTTTATATTCTTATTTCTGGACAAAGCACTATCATCCATTTCCATGGTTCTTGGTACAGGATCAGGCAGTTTATGGGAACTCAAACCATTAAGGTGACTAGAGGAGTATATGCATTATTTTAGAGCTCCTCTTGTATTGGAGACCGTCATAATCACAGGAGATGCTTTTTAGCAGCGCCATGTCGGTGTAGTCTGAAGACCACCGTGGCGGCTCCAGCTTTTCCTCCCCCCCGCCCAAGACTCCTACTCCGGGGGCCAATCTAGTGGGAGTGAAACTGGGCTAATCTGAGTGGCAAAGTTCACTTTTGGTTGAGATTTAAGTAACCTCCTTCTCTCACGCAGTGTGACCTCTTTCAACAACTGGTCTGAAGAACTGATAAAGGACTAGAGTTATCTAGAGGTGGGAGGAACAACTGGCCTCACTGGGCTTAAATTAATATGGCAAGTTGGCGAGTCCAAAAAGATAGGGCATTTACAAGCCAATTCTCTGTAAGACTACATTAATGACACTTGACTACTTTCCTTATTTATTTATTTATTTATTTGAGAGAGAGACAGAGAGACAGACAGAGTTCATGCCAGGGCGGGGGGGCAATGGGGGCAGAGGAAGAGAGGATCTTAAGCAGGCTCCACGCCTAGCACAAGCCCAACTCGAACCTTGATTTCATGACCCTGAGATCATGATGCTGAGATCATGACCTGAGCCGAAATCAGGAGTGGGATGCTTAACTGACTGAGCCACCCAGGCGCCCCTACATTTGACTGATTTCTAAACAGAGGAAAGCTTGGGTGGGTGTGTAAACATGTGCAAATCACAGAGCTATGTAACACCTGTGCCACTCTTGATTATTTCATATATTTCAATGTGGCCCTTGGGGAAAAAGCCTCATGTGGGGACACCTGGGTGGCTCAGTCAGTTAGGCATCTGCCTTTGGCTCAGGTCATGGTCCCGGGATCCTGGGATCAAGTCCTGTGTCAGGCTCCTTGCTCAGTGGGGAGTCTGCTTCTCCCTCTGCCTGCCACTCCCCCTGCTTGTGCTCTCTCTCTGACAAATGAATAAATAAAATCTTTAAAAAAATTTTTTTTAAAAAGCCTCATGTAAACCATTTGTCTAGTGGTATATGGGGATTCATGAACTCCCAAGTTCTAAATCCACCCATTTTTTTTTTTATTTTGGCCAATTTATTTTTAAAAACCAGCTTTATTGAGGTATAATTCAGACATTTCAAGTACACAATTCAGTAGTCTTTAGTATACTCACAGTGATATAAACATCACCAGTCAACTTTAGACCATTTTCATCACCCCAACAAGACACCTGTATTCAACTTTTTTTTTTTAATTTATTTATTTGAGAGAGAGAGAGAGAGAAAACAAGAGTACATGTGAGCAGGAGGAGGGGGAGAGGTAGAGGGAGAGAATCTCAAGCAGACTCCCTGCTGAGCTTGGAGATCGATTCAGGGCTCCATCCCAGGACCCTGAGATCATGACCCGAGCTGAAATCGAGTCAGATGCTTAACTGAGCCACCCAGGTGCCCCTGCCACAGCAACTCACCATCTTATATTCCTACCACCAATGTGTGATGATCCCGATTTCTCTACCTCCTTTCCAACAGTGTTATTGTCTTTTTTATTATGGTCATTTTGGTTGGTGTGAAATGGTACCTTATGCTTTTGATCTTCATTTTCTTTCTTTCTTTTTTTATAATTTTTTATTATGTTAATCACCATACATTACATCATTAGTTTTTGATGTAGTGTTCCATGATTCATTGTTTGTGCACAAAACCCAGTGCTCCACGCAGAATGTGCCCTCTTTAATACCCATCACCAGGCTAACCCATCCCCCCACCCCCCTCCCCTCTAGAACCCTCAGTTTGTTTTCCAGAGTCCATCGTCTCTAATGGTTCGTCTCCCCCTGATCTTCATTTTCTTAATGACTACTGATAGTAAGTACTTTTTCATGTGTTTGATTGGCCGTGTGTACATCTTCTTTGGAGAAATGGCTCTTCGATTCCCTTGCCCATTTTTGAATGGCTTGTTTGTCTTTTAGATGTTAAATTTTTCTTCATATGCCTTAAGAATGGGGGTAGTTGGAGGAAGAGCCTGAGACCTCTTGCCTGCTCCTGCCTAGATGAAAGCTTCTACAACACAAAACGGGTGGTAAGATGCCAGTAGCCTGCTTTTCCCAGGGTTATACCATAGCCCTAGACTGGGATCTAAGTTGAGAAGGAGCCCTGTGTTCTTGGCTGCAGGCCCCGGGAATGGAGCACCACCCCCTAGCTGGAAGGGGGCAGGGAAGTGTGTTGTGGCTGAAATGCCTCACACTCCTGCTGTTCTTACTGAATTGCAGTAGTTTGTCTTGAGTAAAGTTTTCCTCATTTGTTGTCTTTCCTCAGAACAATTTCCAGAGACGAACTAGCTCATCTGCAATTTTCACCAGTGGTGGTTTTGCTACAGAGTGGGTTCATGGAGCTCCTTACACAGCCTTTCTGGAAGTTGAGTTCCTTTTGAATAATTTTTAATGCAAATGTTGCATCTGTTATACTTGGTGGTAAAAGAGTTTATGTTGACATAGTAGAGAATTATGAAGGACAGTTTTTACAAAAGTAAATTTTGTAAATTTATTAACATTGGATTAAGAGAACTGATTGAAGTTGAGGCCTGGTTGACTTTTAACTTTATATCCAGTCAAATTCTAGAATGCTCATGCATTTGATTTGACAAACTATTCTTAATTTATTGTTATTAAATGGCTGAATAGAAATATTTGAATAATAAGGGTGACAGCGCATTTCATATGAGAGATTATTGCTCTAGTAATCTATGTACAAAGCCATCAAAGCCATTGACAGTTATCAAAATGATCCCTGTTTTTGAAAGCACAGGAATAATTAAAATGTGAAAATCAAGTTATTAAAACCTCATTAGTTTTATGCGTTAATCTAAAAAGTTCACAGGCAAAAATGTCCATATATTTCTTAATTAATTCAAAAGAACGACCACATCACTACGTCTTTTAGAAAAACAACTTTCCCAATTTCCCTGATGAACCCGTTTGTAGTTTTAGGGCTAAGATTTACATTTAACAGTTCCTCAAATTCTTTATTGAATCAGGAGCTGAACTCATCTATGTTAACTGCCAACCAGTCGAATGTCACTTTAGTTGAAACAGACATAGAACCTCGGCTCATATCTAAAACCCTCTTCTTTCCATTCCTTTCCATTCCATGGCAAAGTTAACTATTCCTTTCTCCTGGGGTTTAGAAGTCTGGTTACTTATGAATGATCACATAAGCATCTTTGAGAAAATACATACTGCTTAATAATCATGAGAAAATGTTAAAATGTACTCCTTGTTGGAAATTCTTCACTTTTTGGGCAGTTGACTTGTGTGTACTATCACCTAAAGTAGCTTTAGGGGCAAAAAGTATTATATAAGAACATAACACTAGAATATTTAAGAATGAAACCAAGCACCTCCCAAAGATATTTCCCTGAATAGTTACTGAACTACACAAAGATAAATACGAAAGTAATTCACAAAGTAATTTTCTCTTCTTTGGGCTGGGAAAGTTTCGGTAATAAAGTTTGGCTTCTGTTGAGTGAAACCTCTTAGTTTCTAACTATGTTAGAAAGGCAACGGTGTTACTAAGGCAAATGGAAAAACCCATTCAATTCTTAAAATTTTAATGCAGTTAAATAATAAACTGATAAATTGCATTAAAGCTAGGATTAATTTTTCCCCTATAGAGACAGGAATTCTAACCTACTAAAGCTACTTTAGCGTTCAAGCATATATTTTGGAAGATGCTTACCTCCCGGTTGGGTGTATCTCCCTGCGGCTTAGGTGAGCGCCCAGGCTTTGGCTCCTCCCCAGCTGCTGCGAGCTTCCCACTGCGCCGGGCGCCTCAGAGCCTCCTGGAGTTAGGTGTTCGGCCCCGCCCTCTTCACTATTGCTAAAACTCCAATTCTGCCAGACCGATTCCGGTGATTAATTATTGACAAAAGGAAAACACTCCCGCGCAAACTTGTCTCCAACCTCACTGCTCCCAGCGATTGCTTCCAGAGGAGAATGCCGGCTGCACCACTCCCCTCCCCCTTTGCTCTACGGTCCCAACTTCCCACACGCTGCCACTCTCTGTCCTGGGCGATCAGGCTCGTCCTCGGAGGAATGCAGCCCAGCGACTTCTACATTTTTTAAATTTGGTTTTCTGCAGCTCGTTAGCACTTCTCCGGGGACCAGCCTCTCAGGAGGGGGCGCTTTCCGGATGCAGGGGAAGCAGGGGCTCTGAGAGCAACGGAGGAGGCGAAGGCGTCGCTGTCACCTCCGGCTGCTGCAGTAAAACCCCGAGCCGCGGCGGGGATGGGGAGGAGGGGATAGGGAGGTGTCCTCCCCCTTGCTTGGGCTGGGAGCCCCGACACTACCAGAGGGGCACGTCCTTCGGTAGTGGTGGTGGGGGCGGGCAGATAAACGGGAGGCGCGAGGTGGGAGCTTTGGGGCTTTAGCCGGAGCCAGCTTTAACCCGACCACGGGAAGCCTGCGCCCCGCATCCATCCATCTGCAGACTTGGGCAAGGGGGCGAAGCTCGGCGGATGCTGAGCAGGACTGCGGTGTGAAACTCGGCAGCAGGCTGCGAAGTGAGCCCAGGGCTCCGGGCCGGGGCGGCAGTCGGCCGAGCAGGCATCTCCCTACATTTGTTTGTCAAAAATCGAAGAAAGTAAACCCATTTAACGTCGGCAGCTGATTTTGGTGCCTTCGAACGCGCAAAAACGCCTCTCCCCGCCCCACTCCCTCCATCCTGCCCCCTTCCCTCCGCCCCTTGGCTGGGAGGTTAATCGTTGAAAAACTGGGCTCCCCCGGGGAAACAGAAGGAAGGATCGTGCCCGGGGAACTTGTGTGTGCTCACTCACAAGTGAAGAGAATTAATCCGGGCCCGGACTGCGGCAGGAAAGCAAACTGGGGAGAGCGGGCTGGGAGGCGGCTCGGCGGTGCAGACCCGCGCGGCGCGGGCTCCCGCGGTTCCGGGGCCGGCGTGCCCAGCGCCCGCGCTCCACTCTCAACGATCTTCCCGAGGAGGCGCGGGACCGCGAAGAGCATCTTCCCTGGAAACCCGCATCCAGAACACCATCGATCCCTTCTCTACCGAGCGCAGGATGCTTAGATTTAACGTGGCGGCTGCTGGCTGCGAGCGCAGAGGCCCTTGAGGATCCTGGCCCCGATATCTCCGCCACCGAGACTCTCTGCCCAAGGCCCGGGGGCGTCCGGGGCCCAGAGCCTCTTGTGATTAATGAGCATTTGGGCAACTGCCAGTCAGCCCCCACTGCTGAAGGAGGAGGCACTGCACATGCTCGGCCAGGGCTGATGGTGCTGAAGCGCGAATTTGAGCTGCGGGCAGGTTTCTCCTCGTTTTCACCACACTCTTCCAGCAGGTTCCAAGCTGCGGGTGCCACGAAGAGGGAGGTTTGCGTTACTGAGAGGGATTTTCTCCTCGCAGGAGGGGTGCGTCCCCAAAGGAAGCTGAAGGTGGTTGGGGCCAGGGAAGGGAGCCACTAGGAACGGAGGAGCACTTTGGAGCATGTACTGGCCAGTTTTTACATGGTTATCTTTTCCTTCTCTGGAACTGTATCTAAATATGAGCAACCAAGCCTAGTATTTTTTATTTCATTATCACTTTGTGTTGTTCACATTCCTTATCTCGCTGCCTCTCCTGACAAACCTTGTAATTTCGGCAGAGCAAGTAAGACCACACCACTGAGGCGTGGAAATAGATGAGGAAATAGAAAACCTGAAAAGTGACTTGTCCAGGGTCACCAAGCCCGTTGTGTGGTAGGACCAGTACTATTACACTAGTTTTTAGGTCTCGTTCTTCATTATCTAGTTCTCTTACTGGATCTCGCCAATCACCATGTGATTGTACATTTGTGGAACTATAGAAACAGGCCCCTTTTCTCTGTGCCAGAGATTTGTGAAATGGATAGGAGACCTTGCAATTACTTCAACTGGAGGTTGGGAGAAAGTGGTACATTTGGCAGAAGCATCCAGACTATTAAAAAGGATCTTAAATGACATATGTGTAATATAACCACACACAGATAAAAGAGATGTGTATCTTTTCACCTCCAAATGGAAAATTGATTTTTTTCTATCTAATCATAGAACATTCTCAAAACTTAACTAGATCATAAAATAAAGATCACGTTTTTAAAAGACAGAAATCATACAGACCACATCATCTATTGAAGCACAATGAGGATAAAATTAACGAAAAAAACTTAACAAGAAAAATTCCTTCTCATTGATATACAACTGGAAATTTAAAAATGCTTTAAAGAGAAGAACAAATGAGAAATTACAAAATCTTTAGAAATAGAAGAAAAAAATCCTGCATAACAAAATCAGGAGAGTATTGAAAAGCAGAAATCATAAACCTTAAATGTATTTATTGCAAAATAATGTACAAACCAAGAAACTTAGAAGAAATTGCAAAAGAATTATATTAACTAGTAAAGATTAAGCAGAAATTAATGAAATAGAAAATAAAAATCCAGGAGAATTGATCAATAAAAGAAAAAAACTTATTCATTGAAAAAAAATCAAGGAACAAAGATACAAGTAACATCAGGAAGGAAAGATGGAAGGAAAGATTGTATATAACCACAGAGAAGGAGGGTATTAAAACAAAAAAGTCTCAAATGATGTTCTTTTGCCATGAAGAGGATTCTCCCTTTAAGCTAACTACAAATTGTGAGATAAGAAATGGTTAAGACACACCACAGCTTATGGAAAGGGGAATAAGATTTGAAGAACCAGGCAGAATTGTTTAGAATATAATAGTATGAGAATTTGAAGTAATGATAATTGTATCAACTGAACATTTTGAACAAGGCCTTTTGTTGTCATTATCATAAAGCAGCTGTTGAATTCTTTAGGTATTCCAGCAAGCATGGAGTAGAAATCTTTTAGCAGTAGTAAAAGTTAAAAGTAATAGAAGAGTATATTCCCTTAGGTAACCTGGGAGGTTTGGGGACAAATATGGGAAGGGAATGGGATCACTTTGTAAAAGCTGTACCAATTGACCCAGAAAGGTTGTGTGGAATGTATCTGGAGTTCAGCATACCAGGAAGGAGAAAGGACCTGATGTGAGAATCCACTTAAAAAACGAGCTGTCAGTTACCAGATCTGGTATGCATCTGCTGAGAACCGTCTTACTCCTGGGGGAGCAAAATGAACAGTTTGAAATATGAGTTTTCTCAAGCTTCCAAATGTAACCAGGGTGTCCTGGTAGAAAAAGTTATGGACTTTGGGACAAAATCGCCCTGGGTTCAAATCCCAGCTTTTCTACTAACAAACTGTAGTCTGAGACAAATTGTCTATTATTTCTATACATTAATTTTCTCATCTGTGAAGTGGGAATAATATTGACTTCATTGGGTTCGTCTGAAGAATTAAATGAACCACCATTTACGAAGTACTCATACAGTTCTCCATCTCCCTCCTCCCTGGCTTTTCCTCTTCCCTTCCTTCCTCCATTCTCCTCTAAATACCATCATTCAGGAACTTCTCTTCTGTATTTTGACATTTCTTCTGTTTTGTTAGTGGAACTCTATGTTCCTTCCCTTTCTTTCAGTGACTCGGCCACCTTCTCCATGGCTCTTTAGCATTGAGAAATCCAAGCCTCATGACTGAGCACCTTTGGAATACTTTAGAAAGACCCCCCTGAATTGAAAATTAACTCAGCCCCCTCTTATAAAGTGCATGGCAAAAACAGGATTGCCTACCTGCCCGTCAGTCTTTCCTCCCTCCCTCCTTTCCTTCCTTCCTTCCTCCCTCCCCCCCATCTCCCTCCCTCCCTTTCTTTACTTCCTTCCTAGTACATTTTTTTAAGTTCCCATGGAGCTATGTTCTAGCAGCGTGAGTGAGTGAGTAAGTGACGTTGCTCCAACTCACTGATTCCAGTTTCACAGATATGCATATGCTTAGGCTGAAGTCTTCCATTGTGGGAAGACCCTAACCCTTAAACAGTCTCAGTTTTAATAATAAAATAAAGATCGTATTAATAATGACAGCCAATAGTTCTAAAAATTGGAAAAGCAGTATTTCATTAAGGAACTAATGTGACCGTCCCATTAACTATCAACAAACATGAGATGTACCATAATAGGCACAATTCTTGCCCTTAAAAGGATACTTCTTAGCAATAAAGAGACCCCCAAAGAACAATACAGAAACCCCCAGAGCCGCTGTAAGACCAGTTTAACAAAAGATTCTCCAATATGTATCTACAGCTATTTGGACAAGACAAAGAAGACAATGGAAAGCCAATGAAATCAGGAGAAAAGAATACAACCCCAACTAACTATATCAGCAACATCTATCTCTCTTTATCAACTCTTATTCTCTTATGTTCATTTTATGATCAGGAGGAGAAAAAGTAAGAAACCCAGTAACAGGAGTGTTTAAAAGCGAAAACAGAGGCACCTGGATGGCTCAGTTGGTTAAGCGACTGCCTTCGGCTCAGGTCATGGTTCCGGGGTCCCGGGATCGAGTCCCACATCGGGCTCCGTGCTTGGTGGGAGGCCTGTTTCTCCTTCTCCCACTCCCCCTGCTTGTGTTCTCTCTCTCGCTGTCTCTCTCTCTCTTTCTGTCAGTTGAATAAATAAATAAAATCCTAAAAAAAAAAAAAAGCAAAAACAGAAATTTGAGACAAATTTTATTGACTTCTTTCTGGTTTGCTTTCACAGTGTGCAGATTAACCCTTATTTTTATTTTTTAAATTTTTAAAATTTTTTTTCAAAGATTTATTTACTTATTTGAGACAGAGAGGATGAGCCAGCTTGAGGTGGGGTGTGTGAGGGTGGGGTGGGGGAGCAGAGAGAGAGGGATGAGGGGGTGAGGGGCAGAGGGAGAGGGGGAGGGATAAACAGACTCCCTGCTGAGTCGGGGGCGGGGCTTGAGCTTGAGGTGGGGCTCCAGGTGGGGCTCGATCCCAGGACCCTGAGATCATGACCTGAGCCAAAGTCAGATGCTTAACTGACTGAGCCACTCAGGCACCCCCTTAACCCTTACTTTTTAAAAAACATTATTAGGTTAGTAGTACTTATTTTTATGATGACATAAAATACTCTAACTCTTTATAACACTGAGAATTCTAAAGGTTTGTGAAGTTGCCATGTACTAGTTTTTACCGAGTCATCAACTAGCTTTGCAGTAACTCTGCACCCTTGGCTAAGCCAGCTAATGTCTCCAGAACCACATCATGGTTAAACCCAGGTAGTTGCATAAATTACGGGAATATATTAATTAACTCAAAGAACCCATCTCAATTTCCTTCTGGTTAGTATAAGGATCTTCATTAGTAATTTTTTATTTATCCTTGTTTTCTCTGAATAAGTGTGTAATTCTGTTTTTCTGTTAAATGGAAAACATTTTTTTCCCCTCCTGGTTACATTGTTATATAGATGCAACTGATATCCTCCATTACTATCAATTGCTGTTTTTCAGTTTCCCTCTATCAACATAGAATTTTATTTTCTTCCTTAATTAGAACTGTAAGGTTGAAAACAAACAAACCAACCAGGAAAGTTGTATGGCTTGTGTCTTTGAGCTCTATGTCAAACTTCAAAAGAATAATAATAATAACAGTGATAAAGATAATAATAATGTTGATATAACTATAATTTATTGAACTATTACTACCGAGGTTTCCATACACCATCTCTTTGTCTTGCCACAAGTTCGCAGTGTAGGAGTTTTTATCTCATTTTTATAGACGGTAAACCAAGAATCAGAGGGGTTGTAACTCCTCTGAAGTGACACAACTTTAAGAGTTGTCTGTCAAACCCTGTCATTTGCCGTATCCTCCATTGGCTCACTATAAACAATCTTTCCATGATTTCTCGTGTATCACTTTTCTCAAAGAAGGTGGCTGTGTTGTGCTGGTTAAGAGAACAGATATTGGAGCCAGACCTCCCATATTTAAATCCATGACCACTTAACTTGTGAATGAGGACAACTTACTTAAACTTCTCCAAAGCCTCAATTTCTTCATCTGCCACAAAGGATAATAAATGTATTAAGTTACTTAAGTTAATATACAAAAGGCAGTCAGAAGTGTGCCGGGCACTGAGTAAATGTCTCATACGTGTTCCCTACTGTTGTTTTGAGAGTTCAATGAGATTATAATGTGTATAAAGCAGTTAGCTAAGTATCTGACCCTTAGAAAATGCTTAATACATCTCTTTTGCTTATTAAAATCTTTTACAACATATACAGCTTTAAACTAGTCTTTTAGGACCATAACTGGTCACTCCTTCCTCTTCCTTCCCTCCATCCCTCCCTATCTTCTTCCCTTCCTCCCCTTTCGGGCCAACTATGACTGACTCAACTGTGTTTTCTATGAACTACCTTTTCAGGGAAACCCATTGTTTACCCTAATATTTCAGACAAACATAAAACATTCTTTAACTCAGTATCATATATTTATTTTTTTAATATTTTTTTATTTATTTTTTTAAAAAGATTTCATTTATTTATTTGAGAGAGAGAGAAA